GCCCCCCACCCCCTTCTTCATTGACAAAACTGAAAAAATAAATAAATTAATATATATATAAAATATATTTATGTATATTAATATTATAAAACTCCAAATATTGTAAAATGTTGTGGGTTCATTTTAAATTGTATAACATATAACGAAAACTGTTGTTACCAAGAAAGACAAAACTTGGTCATTACTTTCTGGTTGGTGCGTCGTCCTGCAGGTAGCATGTCGGCGTGGAGTACATGGCGTACATTTGATGTTTGGAAGCCTTCTTCATTGACAAAACTGAAAAAACATAAATTAATATATATTATTTATGTATATTAATTATAAAACTCCAAATATTGTAATGGTGTGGTTCATTTTAAATTGTATAACATATAACGAAAACTGTTTACCAAAGAAGACAACTTTGTCATGACTTCTCCCCGGGTGCGTCGTCTGCAGGTAGCATGTCGGCGTGGAGTAACATGGGGGCCGTACATTTGATGGTTTGAAGCCTTCTTCATTGACAAAACTGAAAAATATAATTAAATATAATTATACATATATTTATGTATATTAAAGTATAAACTCCAAATATTGTAATGTGTGGTTTTCATTTTTAAATTGTATAACATATAACGAAACTGTTACCAAGAAGACAACTTGTCATTACTTCTCCTGGGTGCGTCGGTCTGCAGGTAGCATGTCGGCGTGGAGTACATGGGCGTACATTTGATGTTTGAAGCCTTCTTCATTGACAAAACTGAAAAATATAATTAATATATATTTAACATATATTATGTATATAAATATAAACTCCAAATATTGTAATGTGTGGTTCATTTAAAATTGTATAACATATAACGAAACTGTTACCAAGAAAGACACTTGTCATTACTTCTCCTGGTGCGTCGTCTGCAGGTAGCATGTCGGCGTGGGAGTACATGGCGTACATTTGATGTTTGAAGCCTTCTTCATTGACAAAACTGCAAAATATAATTAATATATTATATAAGTAACATATTTTTATGTATATTAATATAAACTCCCAAATATTGTAATGTGCTGGTTCATTTTAAATTGTATAACATATAACGAAACTGTTTTACCAAGAAGACAACTTGTCATTACTTCTCCTGTCTGTGCGTCGTCTGCAGGTAGCATGTCGGCGTGGAGTACATGGCGTACATTTGATGTTTGAAGCCTTCTTCATTGACTAAACTGAAAATATAATTAATATATATATATAATTACATAGTTTTTATGTATATTAATATAAACTCCAAAATATTGTAATGTGTGGTTCATTTTAAATTGTAAAACATATAACGAAACTGTTTACCAAGAAGACAAAAAACTTGTCATTACTTCTCCTGGTGCGTCGTCTGCAGGTAGCATGTCGGCGTGGAGTACATGGCGTACATTTGATGTTTTGAAGCCTTTCTTCATTGACTAAACTGAAAAATTAATTAATATATTATATTATAAATAAAACTCCCAATATATTATATGTATTCATTAATATTAATAACCACCTGTTACCAAGAAGATATTGTAACTTCTGGTGCGTGTGGTTCATTTTAAACATTGTATAAAAGCCAGTATAACAAACTGAAAATATAATTACAAATCTGTTGTACCAAGGAAGAGGGGGGGACCAAATATTGTGTCATTTTAAAATTCTCCATATAACGGTTACCAAGATAGCGTCATTCTGCAGGTGTGCGTCTTCTGCATTTACATGTCGGCGTGGAGTACATGGCGTACATTTGGATGTTTGAAGCCTTCTTCATTGACAAAACTGGAAAAAATATAATTAATATATATATAATAACATATATTTATGTATATTAATATAAACTCCAAATATTGTAATGTGTGGTTCATTTTAATTGTATAACATATAAACGAAACTGTTACCAAGAAGACAACTTGTCATTACTTCTCCTGGTGCGTCGTCCATGCAGGTAGCATGTCGGCGTGGAGTACTGGCGTACCTTTGATGTTTGAAGCCTTCTTTCATTGAAACAAAAATAATAAAATATAATTATATTACATATATTTATGTGTATATTATAACTATAAAACTCCCCAAAACAACTTGTCATATTGTAATGTGTGGGGAGTACTGCGTCATTTTAAGCCTTGATAAAACATATATAATTACATATATTTGAATATTAATATAAACTCCAAATATTGTACTGTTACCAAAAGACAAACTTGTCAACTTACTCATCTTCCCCTGGTGCGTCCGTCTGCAGGTAGCATGTCGGCGTGAGTACATGGCGTACATTGGATGTTTGAAGCCTTCCTTTCATTGACAAAACTGAAAAATATATATTACATATATTTATGGTATATTAATATTAAAAAAAAAACTCCAAATATTGTAATGTGTGGTTCATTTTAAAATTGTATAAACATATAACGAAACTGTTACCAAAGAAGACACTTGTCATTACTTCTCCTGGTGCGTCGTCTGCCAGGTAGCATGTCGGCGTGGAGGCTACATGGCGTACATTTTGATGTTTGAAAGCCTTCTTCATTGACAAAACTGAAAAATATCATTTACATATATTTATGTATATTAATATTAACTCCAATATTGTAATGTTGTGGTTCATTTTAAATTGTATAACATATAACGAAACTCTTACCAAGAAGGACAACTTGTCATTACTTCTCCCTGGTGCGTCGTCTGCAGGTAGCATGTCGGCGTGGAGTACATGTCGTACATTTGATGTTTGAAGCCTTCTTCATTGACAAACTGGAAAATATATTACCTATATTTTACATATTTTTATTCATTCAAATATTACTCCAAATTCATTGTAATGTGTGGTTCATTTTAATTGTAAAAACATTGTAACGAAACTGTTACCAGAAGACAACGTTGTCATTACTTCTCCTGGTGCGTCGTCTGCAGGTACATGTCGGCGTGGATTACATGGCGTAAATTTGATGTTTGAGCCTTCTTTTCATTGACAATCTGAAAAATATAATTAATTATATAATAATTACATATATTTATGTATATTAATATAAACTCCAAATATTGTAATGTGTGGTTCATTTTAAAATTGTATAACATATAACGAAACTGTTACCCGAAGACACACTGTCATTACTTCTCCTGGTGCGTCGTCTGCAGGTAGTCATGTCGGCGTGGAGTACATGGCGTACATTTGATGTTTGAAGCCTTCTTCATTGACAAAAAAATCTTAATTAAATATATATATTTACAATATATTTATGTATATTAATATAAACTCCAAATATTGTAATGTGTGGTTCTTTTAAATTGTATACATATAACGAAACTGTTTCAAACCAAGAAGACAACTTGTCATTACTTCTCCTGGGTGGCGTCGGTCTGCAGGTAGGGCATGTCGGCGTGGAGTACATGGCGTACATTTGGATGTTTGAAGCCTTCCTTACATTGACAAAACTGAAAATATAATTTTTACACTTATATTTTATGTTATATTAATATATTAACTACCTCGCAAATATTGTTTAAATTGAGTGTGGTTTCAATTTTAGAAAAAATTGGTAATAACAACAATATAGAACCGCACACTGTCTTGAATCACCCAAGGAAGAACAACTTGTCAACATACTTTCTTTCCTGGTTTGGGCAGGGGTCTGTTCTGTCAAGGTAGCCCAATGTCGGCCGGTAGGAGGGGAGTTACATATTTGGCGTACTTTGTTTTTGACTGGATTCTAGAAAGCCTTTCTTGTTCATGTGACAAAAAAAAACACTGAAAAATAAATTACATAGATTGTCTAAACAATTATTTATGTATATTTATATCAAAAACTCCAAAATATTGGTAAATTAGTTGTGGTTTTCATTTTTAAAATGTGTATAAAAAAACAATTATACAAAAACGGACAACTTCTTACCAAGGAAAGGGACACACAAACACATTTTCATTTACTTTCTCCCGGGTGGGGGGGGGGGGGGTCGTCGGTCTTAGCAGTGTAGGGGCATGTTGCGGGGGCGTGGGGAGGGTTTAAAACATGGAGTTTAACAAATTTTTGATTGTTTGAAGCCTTTCTATACATTTTGAACAAAAAACACAAAACTGAAAAAATAAATATTAATATAAACAAAATATATTTAATTTATATTAATTAAAAAAAAAAAAACAAACTCCAAAAAAAATATTTTGTAATGATGGTGGTTCACACATTTTTTAAATTTTTAATTAAACCCCAATATAAAACGAAACTTCTTACCAAGAAAGTGGGGGACAAAATTTGTCATTACTTTCTCCCACGGATGCGTCACGTTCGTGCAGGGGGTAGCATGTCGGGCGGTGGAGTTTTTACATGGCCGATTTATACAATTATGATGTTTGGGGAAAAGGGCCTTCATTTCATTAGCGCTAACCCAAAACTGAAAAATATATAAATTACATAGATATTTTCCATTGTATATTTAATATAAAAAACTCCAAAAATTTATTTGTAAATGTGTGGTTCATTTTAACTTGTATAAAATTGTGAACGAAACTGTTACCGGAAGAAGACACTTGTCATTACTTGTCCTGGTGCGCTCGTCGGCAGTTAGCATGTCGGCGTGGGTACATGGCGTACATTTGATGCCGGAAGCCTTCTTCATTGACAAAACTGAAAATATAATTACATATATGGGATGTATGATTAATATAAACGTTTTTCAACTATTGTAATGTGTGGTTCATTTTAAATTGTATACATATAACGAAACAAAACGCAAGAAGAACAACTTGTCATTACTTCTCCTGGTGCGTCGTCTTCAGGTATCATGTTTCGGCGTGGAGTACATGGCGTGACATTTGATGTTTGAAGCCCTTCTTCATTGACAAAACTGAAAAATATAATTATCCATATTTATGTATCTTAATATAAACTCCAAATATTGTAATGTGTGGTTCATTTTCAATTGTATAAACATATAACGAAACTGTTACCACGAAGACAACTTGTTGATTACTTTCTCCTGGATGGCACCGTTTTCCGGTCTGCAGGGTAGCATGTTCAGCGGGAGTTGGGAGTACACCCCACACAAACTACAACCACAAACACCCACCACCAAACAAACCACCCACCCACAAATACCCACACAGCCACAGCCCCAACAAAATGGCGTGCCACCACATGCCAAACAACCCACAAACCCCACAGTACAACACACCAAAATACCACACCACAACCACCCCCCAACAACCACAACACACCAACACCCCCACCCACACACCCACAACAAACACACCACAACAAACCAACAACGACAAAACACACAACGCACACCCCCAAACCAATTTAAACCCACACCTAGAAACAACAACAAACAACCCAACACAACAACAAGCAAACCTTGCACCAACCTAACCAACCGCTACAACCACCCCACACACAACACACCAAACCACACCAAACACCACCCCACCACCAACCCCCAAACCACACAACAAAAAAACAACACAACCCTAAACCCCCACCAACCCCCACCCCAACAACATACCCCAACCCCCCGGGGGGACACAAACCCCACCAAATACACATACACCAAACAAAGATTAAACAACCACCAACAAACACACCCCCACCAACCCCAAACACACATGGCGTACATTTTGTGTTTGAAGAGCCTTCTTCATGGACAAAACTGAAAAAATATAATTACATATATATTATGTATATTAATATATTGTTTTAACTCCAAATATTGTAATGTGTGGTTCATTTTAAAATTGTATAACATATAACGAACACTCTTACCAAGAAGGACAACTTGTTCATTACTTCTCCCTGGTTGGCGTCGTCTGCAGGTAAAGCATGTTCGGCGTGGAGTACATGGCGCGTACATTTGATGTTTGAAAGCCTTCTTCTATTGACAAACTGAAAAATGAAAAAATATATATAATAACATATATTTATGTATATTAATATAAACTCCAATATTGTAATGTGTGGTTCATTTTAAATTGTATAAAATATAACGAAACTGTTACCAAGAAGACAACTTGTCATTACTTCTCCTGGTGCGTCGTCTGCAGGTAGCATGTCGGCGTGGAGTACATGGCGTAATTTGATGTTTGAAGCCTTCTTCATTGACACACACTGAAAAATATAATTACATATATTTATGTATATTATTAATATAAATACTCCAAATATTGTAATGTGTGGTTCATTTTAAAATTGTATAACATATAACGAAACTCTTACCAAGAAGACAACCTTGTCATTACTTCTCCTGGTGCGTCGTCTGCAGGTAGCATGTCGGGGCGTGGAGTACATGGCGTACATTTGATGTTTGAAGCCTTCTTCATTGACTAAACTGAAAAATATAATTAATTATATATAATATACATATATTGTAATGTATATTAATATAAACTCCAAATATTGTAATGTGTGGTTCATTTTAAATTGTATCACATATAACGAAACTGTTACCAAGAAGACAACTTGTCATTACTTCTCCTGGTGCGTCGTCTGCAGGTAGCATGTCGGCGTGTGGAGTACATGGCGTACATTTGATGTTTTTGAAGCCTTCTTCATTGACAAAAACTGAAAAATATAATTAATAATATAATATAATTACATATATTTATGTATATTAATATAAAACTCCAAATATTGTAATGTGTGGTTCATTTTAAATTGTATAACATATAACGAAACTCTTACCAAGAAGAACAACTTGTCATTACTTCTCCTGGTGCGTCGTCTGCAGGTAGCATGTCGGCGTGGAGTACATGGCGTACATTTGATGTTTGAAGCCTTCTTCATTGACTAAACTGAAAAATATAATTAATATATTATTATAATATTACATATATCTTAATGTATTTATGTATATAATATAAAACTCCAAATATTGTAATGTGTGGTTCATTTTAAATTGTATAACATATAACGAAACTGTTACCAAGAAGACAACTTGTCATTACTTCTCCTCCTGGTGCGTCGTCTGCAGGTAGCATGTCGGCGTGGAGTACATGGCGTACATTTGATGTTTGAAGCCTTCTTCATTGACAAAAACTGAAAAAATAATTAATATATATATAATAACATATATTTATGTATATTAATAAAACTCCAAATATTGTAATGTGTGGTTCATTTTAAATTGTATAACATATAACGAAACTGTTACCAAGAAGACAACTTGTCATTACTTCTCCTGGTGCGTCGTCTGCAGGTAGCATGTCGGCGTGGAGTACATGGCGTACATTTGATGTTTGAAGCCTTCTTCATTGACAAAACTGAAAAATAATTATATATATATAACATATATATTTATGTATATTAATATAAACTCCAAAATATTGTAATGTGTGGTTCATTTTAAATTGTATAACATATAACGAAACTGTTACCAAGAAGACAACTTGTCATTACTTCTCCTGGTGCGTCGTCTGCAGGTAGCATGTCGGCGTGGAGTACATGGCGTACATTTGATGTTTGAAGCCTTCTTCATTGACAAAACTGAAAAATATAATTACATATATTTATGTATATTAATATAAACTCCAAATATTGTAATGTGTGGTTCATTTTAAATTGTATAACATATAACGAAACTGTTACCAGAAGACAAAACTTGTCATTACTTCTCACTGGTGCGTCGTCTGCAGGTAGCATGTCGGCGTGGAGTACATGGCGTACATTTGATGTTTGAAGCCTTCTTCATTGACAAACTGAAAATATATTAATATATATATATAATTAACATATATTATATGTATATTAATATAAACTCCAAATATTGTAATGTGTGGTTCATTTTAAATTGTATAACATATAACGAAAACTGTTACCAAGAAGACAACTTGTCATTACTTCTCCTGGTGCGTCGTCTGCAGGTAGCATGTCGGCGTGGAGTACATGGCGTACATTTGATGTTTGAAGCCTTCTTCATGACAAAAAAAAACTGAAAAATATAATTACATATATATTTATGTATATTAATATAAACTCCAAATATTGTAATGTGTGGTTCATTTTAAATTGTATAACAATATAACGAAACTGTTACCAAGAAGACAACTTGTCATTACTTCTCCTGGTGCGTCGTCTGCAGGTAGCATGTCGGCGTGGAGTACATGGCGTACATTTGATGTTTGAAGCCTTCTTCATTGACAAAACTGAAAAATATAATTAATATATATATAATAATAACATATATTTATGTATATTAATATAAACTCCAAATATTGTAATGTGTGGTTCATTTTAAATTGTATAACATATAACGAAACTGTTACCAAGAAGACAACTTGTCATTACTTCTCCTGGTGCGTCGTCTGCAGGTAGCATGTCGGCGTGGAGTACATGGCGTACATTTGATGTTTGAAGCCTTCTTCATTGACAAAACTGAAAAATAATTAATATATATTAATACATATATTTATGTATATTAATATAAACTCCAAATATTGTAATGTGTGGTTCATTTTAAATTGTATAACATATAACGAAACTCTTACCAAGAAGACAACTTGTCATTACTTCTCCTGGTGCGTCGTCTGCAGGTAGCATGTCGGCGTGGAGTACATGGCGTACATTTGATGTTTGAAGCCTTCTTCATTGACATTGACTGAAAAATAATAATTAATATATACATATAATACATATATTTATGTATTTAATATAAACTCCAAATATTGTAATGTGTGGTTCATTTTAAATTGTATAACATATAACGAAACTGTTACCAAGAAGACAACTTGTCATTACTTCTCCTGGTGCGTCGTCTGCAGGTAGCATGTCGGCGTGGAGTACATGGCGTACATTTGATGTTTGAAGCCTTCTTCATTGACAAAACTGAAAAATATAATTACATATATTTATGAGTATATTAATATAAACTCCAAATATTGTAATGTGTGGTTCATTTTAAAAATTGTATAACATATTAACGAAACTCTTACCAAGAAGACAACTTGTCATTACTTCTCCTGGTGCGTCGTCTGCAGGTAGCATGTCGGCGTGGAGTACATGGCGTACATTTGATGTTTGAAGCCTTCTTCATTGACAAAACTGAAAAATATAATTAATATATATATATATATAACATATTTTATGTATATTAATATAAACTCCAAATATTGTAATGTGTGGTTCATTTTAAATTGTATAACATATAACGAAACTGTTACCAAGAAGACAACTTGTCATTACTTCTCCTGGTGCGTCGTCTGCAGGTAGCATGTCGGCGTGGAGTACATGGCGTACATTTGATGTTTGAAGCCTTCTTCATTGACAAAACTGAAAAATATAATTACATATATTTATGTATATTAATATAAACTCCAAATATTGTAATGTGTGGTTCATTTTAAATTGTATAACATATAACGAAACTCTTACCAAGAAGACAACTTGTCATTACTTCTCCTGGTGCGTCGTCTGCAGGTAGCATGTCGGCGTGGAGTACATGGCGTACATTTGATGTTGAAGCCTTCTTCATTGACAAAACTGAAAAATATAATTAATATATATATATAATAACATATATTATTATGTATATTAATATAAACTCCAATATTGTAATGTGTGGTTCATTTTAAATTGTATAACATATAAACGAAACTGTTACCAAGAAGACAACTTGTCATTACTTCTCCTGGTGCGTCGTCTGCAGGTAGCATGTCGGCGTGGAGTACATGGCGTACATTTGATGTTTGAAGCCTTCTTCATTGACAAAACTGAAAAATATAATTACATATATTTATGTATATTAATATAAACTCCAAATATTGTAATGTGTGGTTCATTTTAAATTGTATAACATATAACGAAACTGTTACCAAGAAGACAACTTGTCATTACTTCTCCTGGTGCGTCGTCTGCAGGTAGCATGTCGGCGTGGAGTACATGGCGTACATTTGATGTTGAAGCCTTCTTCATTGACACAACTGAAAAATATAATTATATATATAATAATTACATATATTTATGTATATTAATATAAACTCCAAATATTGTAATGTGTGGTTTCATTTTAATTGGTATAACATATAACGAAAACTGTTACCAGAAGACAACTTGTCATTACTTCTCCTGGTGCGTCGTCCTGCAGGTAGCATGTCGGCGTGGAGTACATCGGCGTACATTTTGATGTTTGAAGCCTTCTTCATTGACTAAACTGAAAAATATAATTAATATATATATAAATAACATATATTTATGTATATTAATATAAACTCCAAATATTGTAATGTGTGGTTCATTTTAAATTGTAATAAACATATAACGAAAACTACTTACCAAGAAGACAACTTGTCATTACTTCTCCTGGTGCGTCGTTTATGCAGGTAGCATGTCGGCGTGGAGTACATGGCGTACATTTGATGTTTGAAGCCTTCTTCATTGACAAAACTGAAAAATAATTTAATATACATATATTACATATATTATGTATATTAATATAACTCCAAATATTGTAATGTTGGTTCATTTTAAATTGTATAACATATAACGAAACTGTTACCAAGAAGACAACTTGGTCATTACTTCTCCTGGTGCGTCGTCGTGCAGGTAGCATGTCGGCGTGGAGTACATGGCGTACATTTGATGTTTGAAGCCTTCTTCATTGACAAAACTGAAAAATATAATTACATATATTTATGTATATTAATATAAACTCCAAATATTTGTA